GTGGTCAATTGAGCTGGCTACTACAAGCTTCTCTTTCAACTGAAGTTTAGGGGTTGGTGATAAGTGCATTGACAGCAGAACCACCTTGATTGCCACGATTTATAGTGGGCAATTTGGGGGAGAAAGATAGATTGCTTTCGCATACTGATGCTCTACTTCTCAAAGTTTTGATTGATACAGTGCAAGGCTACACTGTATATCAGCTTGCTAGAATTTTTAAGTTTTGACTAAAATTGATGTTAGTGCCCAAACTGTGGGTCTAACCTGGGTTTAGCTGACACTTCCTTTCATGTGTATTGCAGGTACGAGAATTGGTCCTTTCTCGAAACCTCAATCTCATTATTGAACCTGGAAGATCACTAATTGCAAACACATGCTGCTTGGTTAACAGAGTTACTGGAGTTAAAACCAATGGGACCAAAAACTTTATTGTGATTGATGGTAGTATGGCTGAGCTTATACGTCCAAGTCTTTATGATGCTTATCAGGTGAGGCTGCGAACTATTTTTCTTGCAGCTATCAGAATTGACTCTTCCTTCTCTCTCACACATATTAAACTAATAACCAGTCTAGCTTATTCAAACAGCTCCCCTTTCCCTTGATCTGTATTCATGACTGTTATATGTCGTTTAATGGATGTCAAATGATATGCTTTCAGTTCATGTTGTAACAGTTGGATGCCGTTTTCCTCATCCCCCAAACATCCCTGGTGTCCCTGCTCCTTTCTCTTCTGAAGTTCTCCTATTCTTTAGGGGGATTTAGCAATTATTTACTTTTCAAAGGTGTTTACTTAAAATGCTCGCGCTGTGGAATTTTTGTGATGTGCGTACTCCAAAAATCTTATGCTTTGTTCTTGTTGGTGTTCATATTGTTCAACTTTTTGAAGTAGCCTACTGTTGGTAATTATACTCATTGTATAAGCATACAATTTGGACCTCACTCTTTATTCACACTGTGCATATCTGATTTATGATTGTGTGGATTTTATGACCTTCTCCTGCACTCGTGCTCAGTTAATGATTTGTTGATTGCAGCACATAGAGCTTGTTTCCCCCCCACCTCCAGAAGCTGCAATTGCGAAGTTTGATGTTGTTGGTCCTGTATGTGAGTCGGCTGATTTCCTGGGGAAGGACCGTGAACTTCCCGCCCCTACTAGGGTAATTTGTTTTGAACTCTCATTGCCTGCTAGAACAGGACAAGGTTTAGCTTCTCATTTAAAGATTTCTTGATACACATTAAAGGCATACTAATTATGACATTTGGATTCAGGGCACTGGTTTGGTAGTTCACGATGCAGGTGCTTACTGCATGAGTATGGCATCAACTTACAATCTCAAGATGCGCCCACCAGAGTATTGGGTATATTGTCTTAACCTGTTATTAAAATGATGTTTTGCTCCTAGTATTTGTTTCTGGTGTTCCTTACGCCCACTAATCTACCCTCAAACCGTGTCATGATGGAAAAAGACTTGGTGTTCTTGTCAACATCTTGTACCCGAAGTGGAGTACATGGCTACATTAACAATTAACTTGGTCCTAAATCTTAAGCTGGTATTTTGTTGTGAAGAGTTGAGAGTCAAGCTTCCATATGACTAGTATCTATTGACAAGATCTATAACTCACATGCCCTTTTGCTTTTTTAAAGACTGCAAAAAAAAAATATCCTTTTAAATGCTAACTTGGTGCTTGGCTGGATTTTGCTAATGATACTACTGCTACTCACAAGATAAGAGAGTTGAATGCAACTTTTTGCTTATATCATTCTGAATTTTTTGTCGTTGGAAGCACTATCCGCGGTTTTCTTAGTTGCTGCTTAACGTTATCAAAGTGATCACAACAATAGTATACTATGAATCTGATAGTCATAGCAACATCTCTTCTCGTATGACATGTAACTTCACATCCAAGACATGCATTTGATCATCTTCACTATTGTAATATTGATACAAAATTTTGAAATGGATTGTGCATACTGTTGTTTGTAGGTGGAAGAAGATGGATCACTGTCCAAAATCCGTCATGGGGAGACATTCGAAGACCATTTAAGATTCTTTGATGGTCTGTAAAATTATGGTTTCTTTTAAGCACTTAAACATGACAGGATGTGAAACTCAGAAATTCCTCTGGTAGTTTGGTTCCTGTCAATGTTGACAATTCTGTATTCGGATTGTTCCAATTAATGGATTTTCCCTATGACTTTCCACCTTTTTTTCTCGGTTTTCTACCTGACGTCTAGGACCTGCATTCGAGTTCACTTAAATCTGAACTCGCACATTCCAAATAGAAGTGATTTTTTTTTAAAAAAAAAAGCTTAGACAAAAACTAGCATCATTTGCTATGAAGAATATGGTAAAGACCCTAAAAGTGCTTAGTCTAGACACTATTTTACTTTATTTACTAAAATAATTATACATATGTACCTGGCGAGCGAGATTGGGAGAGGGAGGAGAGAGGCAAGCGAGACAGAACAATAATTTGTATAATTCGCATTTCGTTTGTGTAATTCACAGGTACGATTGTATAATTCGCGTGTTTTTGTATAATTAAGTAATATAAAGTTTGGAATTATACAAATATGATAAAAACTTGAAATAACGAATTGATATAAACATAAATATTTGAACTTTAAACAATTATACAAATTACATTATATATTATATTATACAAAATTTGAAAACTACATGTTTATACAAACTTTAAAAAGTTATACACAAAAAGATTGAATGTATATGATGATAAAACTAATAAGGGAAAATTATATATAATAACAAACTATTAATTAAAATTAAATGTTATAGCCACAATTTCATTTAATTCTAATCCGTATCAAACACTTTGCCATTCACCTCTCTCCCCAAATTTCTCGCTCGCCACTCTCTCTCTCGCCTCTCTCACTTTATACCAACACAAATGTATAAATTATGTTTGTGTTTGTGTAAAGCGAGAAAACGTTGTATATACAGATACATATCTTTTCGTTCGCCTCTCTCCCTTGATATCTTGCTCACCACTCTCTCTCTCACATCTCTCACTTTATACAAGCACAAATGTATAAATTGTGTTTGTGTTTGTATAAAGCGAAAGTAAACTGTATATACAAATACAAATACATATTTTTTCGTCCTATACACTTATAATTACACAATACATATCTCTCCCTGCCCAGTTCTCTTTTGCCTTTGTCTCTTTCTCGCTTTATACAAACACATATTATACAAAAAAAATTCTTTCTTATTTGTATACAGATTCCAAATACATACTTATACAATTGATTCTTTTGTATAAGTACACCAAAATATACATATAATAGCCATAAAGTTTGCTATGGAGCGCAATTATACAAACTATAGCTATAACATACAAATATGATTTTTATATTTGCTAAACCTAAAAATTTTCCAACTTAAAAATCGAAGGAAATCATCGTCATATACAAATACAAATCAAATGAAGAATTGTTAGTTGCGAATTATATAAATGTGGCGAATTATACAAAAGTGACTAATTATACAAACGAAGTCAGCTCACGTAATTAATAGTTAATGTTAGTCGCGAGTGATAATTATATCAAACTATAGCTATAATGAGTAATTAAATAGTATAAGTTTGCTTAACCGCGTAATTTTTTCCCTTCTCTTTTTATTAATTATGTAGATGAGGATCTTTTTAAAAATTATTAAATTTATCCTTTTTTTCTTTTACAATTATAATAAAAAGATAATTAACTAATTTCATTGTAAAATAAAAATTGGAGTTTCAACGCAACATAAATATATTAATAACAATTGTGACAAATTGTTTGATCGATTAATTATAGCAATTCATGGGACGTATTAATTTTGACTGATTAATTAAAGTATTTCTATTGCGATAAGGCGTAAATAATTGATCGATTAATTAAGGCAATTCATGAAACGTTGACTGGTTAATTAAAGTATCTCTATTGCGATAAGACGTAATTAATTGTTCGGTTAATTAAAACAATTCATGGGACGCAACTAACTTTGACTGATTATTGAAGTATTTCTATTGCAGTAAGGCGTAATTAATTGATCGATTAATTAAAGAAATTCTATTGCAATGGGTCATAATTAGCTTTGACTGATATATTAAAGTTTTTTAATGCTATAAGACGTAATTAATTGATCGGTTGATTAAAGTAATTCTATGTGATTGGGTGTAACTAACTTTGATTGATTAATTACAGTGATTCTATTGTGTCGAGTCAATTTATATCACATAAATTGGATAGAATTAATCAGTTACACCCAATCACATAGAATTACTTTAATCAACTGATCAATTAATTACGTCTTATCGCAATAAAAAAATATTATTTTATCAGTCAAAGCTAGTTATGACCCATTGCAATATAATTGCTTTAATTAATCGATCAATTAATTACGCCTTATTGCAATAGAAATATTACAATAATCACTCAAAGTTAGTTGCGTCCCGTGAATTGCTTTAATTAATCGAACAATTAATTACTTCTCATCGCAATAGTGATACTTTAATTAATCAGTCAAAGTTAGTGAAGTTTCAATTTTAATTAATCGATCAATTAATTATGCCTTATCACTATAGAAATACTTTAATTAATGAGTCAAAATTAATTACGTCTCATGAATTGCTATAATTAATCGATCAAACAATTCTCCTCAACTGTTATTAATATATTTATGTTGCGTTGAAACTCCAATTTTTATTTTACAATGAAATTAGTTAATTATCTTTTTTATTATAATTGTAAAAGAAAAAAAAAGATAAATTTAATAATTTTTAAAAAGATCCTCATTTACATAATTAATAAAAAAAGAAACCCAACTACAAAAAAGTGAAGATTATTACTAGGACTTCTTTTTCACAAGATTATGCACTACGAGTCAAATAAAAATAATACTAATCAATATTGGGTGTTTAAATTAAAATTTAAAAACAATTTATTAGAAAGTGAGATGTTTAATTAAAGAAAAAAAAAATATCATCAGAAATTCACGGAAAAAATGGCATGGCGCTGCTCCGCGTCAAGAGTGGTTTTGGATTTTTCTTGAAGTTTTCGCTTCATAGTCCTCACTTGTTTCTTCCCATTTATAGTCCAGTCCAGTCCCCCTCTCTACTCTTTCACTGCTCACAATATTCAAAACCGCCTCTTGTTTTCTTCTCTCACAGTTTACAACCCTAATCTCTGATCTACCGCTTCAAAATTTCATTCATCTCAGGTTTTGTTTTCCGATCGGTAATTTTCACTGCTTTTGTTGATGCATTTTAGTTTTGATTGATTTCTTACTGCATTTTTTCTAGCGATGTGTGATGTATTGTTTCTTTAATAGTAAAAAAAAGAAGAAGAAGAAGCGTTGTTAGAATTCTCTATTTTTTTAAAAAAATTGAGAATTGATTTTATGATGCATTTAGTTTTGACTGATTTCATTGATAAAAGTAGTTGTTCATATCATGTGAGTTCTGATGATTACTAATTTCTTACTGCATTTTGATGTAAGCTTTTCTAGAGATGTGTTTCTCTCAGATGTTTTGTTTCCTTAATCAGTAAAAAAAAGAAGCTTTGGTAGAATTCTCCAGTATTTTAAATTGAGGATTGATTTTATGATGCATTTTAGTTTTGACTGATTTCATCTATAAAAATAGTGCTAGTTCGTATCATATGAGTTCTGCTGATTACTAATTTCTTGCTGCGTTTTCCTTTTAAGTTTTTTTTTTTAATCTCAGATGTATTGTTTCCTTAATCTGTTAAAAAAAAAATAGCTTTGTTAGAATTCTTCATTTTTTTAATTGAGGATTGACTTTATGATGAATTTTATTTTGTATTGTTTACATCTATAAAAATGGTTCATGTCGTGTTAGTTCTGTTGATTCTTAAATTCTTGTTATATTGTCGCTTGTCGTGACGTGTTCTGTTAATTCTTAAAGTCTTGTTACATTCCCGTTACACGCTTGTCGTGACGTGTTCTGTTTATTCTTAAAGTCTTGATACATTCCCGTTACACGCTTGTCGTGACGTGTTCTGTTGATTCTTAAATTTAGTCGTAGTCAAGTACAGTAAAAAAAATAGTCAAATGAGAATTGATTATCTGATAACATTTTAAGTTGTGTTAATTTCATCTGTGGAGAGTAGTTCGTGTTGTGTGAGTCCTGTTGCCTCTTAAATTTTCGTGGCATTTTCTTTACAGACTTCCTGGGATATGTTCTTCGTTAATTTGCTCAAATTGAATTTGAATTTTCTCTAGCTCAACTGAGCTATAAATACATAAATTGCCCCCTAAACTTATCCCGAAAACTCAGTTATACACTATAACTTTACGAGCATCCTTTTACCCCCCTAATCTTTTTTGGACTGGAACTAAAACCCCTTACGAAGAGAATCCTGGACATATTTTGTCAAGTGTTATACACGCGCCTAATGTGTATAACACCACTTATCCACAAATTACTTTGCCATAGGAAGTTCGCATTTCCTTCCATAGAAAGTTCGCATTTCCTGCCATAGAGAGTTTGGTGTTTCCTTTACGAGCATATTATCTTCAATGCTCTTTGTTTTTTCCATTTCTAGTTGTTTCTTCCTCTTTTCAATCTATGTCAGAGCTTTGTCGAGAGCAATTATATAATGAAGATTCATATGGTAAAAAGCTGAGATGAAATTTTGGTGTTGAAACAAAATAAATTTGAGTTCCTTAAATGGTTTTTGTACAATGAGAGTAAATTTTTATCAAATTTGCTCAATTAGTTTATCTATGGTAATTCCTGACGAATAAGTGAGATCAAATAGCAGTGGTTTTTGCATTAATATTTGATAGTTTATCTTAACCCATTATATTTGGCTGCCAAATAAGCCAGGTGAGTGGCTTGTGCTGTTTATTGCCTGCTTGGAATGAGTGGCTGGAGCCGTTTATTGCCTGCTTGGAATAAGTGGCAACTAGATAGTAGTACCTGAACTCTTGCATGATAAATTTCTAACCTTTTCCTATGTTTATTGGTAATATTGCATAATTAGATATGCAGTTGCTCTATATTGTTAAAATAGGTCGCATTTGGTTAAATATCCCTGTTCTAAGATATTATTTTTCCTATACAGCAGTAGTAAACTTGAAATTAGTTTGTCTAAACTTTTGAACTCATTGATTGAACGCGTTTGCATCTCCTTGTAGACTATTTACTTGCATTTTGAGAACACATCATTGATAAATTTGGTGCCTATTGTGTATTTCAGGTTTTATTGCGTTTTGGCAAAAACCGGTCGGTCGATCTTAGGCGCAGATCAGTATTATTCAGTTCAATCCAGGTCTCTTACTCAGTTATGGCCAGTGAAACAAAGACCGGCGTTTCCAATGGTAACGGCAGTGCTCATTTTACTCCACAACGGACTTACCAGGTTGTGGTTGCTGCAACTCAAAATATGGGTATTGGTAAGGAGGGGAAGTTACCTTGGAGACTGCCTACAGATCTCAAGTTCTTCAAGGGTATCACTGCGACTACAACGGATCCTACAAAAAGGAATGCTGTTGTTATGGGAAGAAAGACTTGGGAAAGTATTCCTATTGAACATCGCCCTCTTCCTGGACGCCTCAATGTTGTTCTCACACGTTCAGGAAGTTTTGACATTGCTACAGCAGAAAATGTTGTCATATGTGGAAGTTTAGGCTCTGCTTTGCAACTATTGGCAGCCTCACCTTATTGTCTCTCTATTGAGAATGTGTTTGTTATAGGAGGTGGCGAGATTTTCAGGTCAGCTTTCTTGCTGCTTCCTTTTTTGGCTAACCTTTAATGCTAATTTTTCAACATATTCTGCTTCTTGATGCAGAGATTCCCTGAATGCTCATGGATGTGATGCAGTCCATATCACTGAAATTGAGACTGATATAGCATGTGATACTTTTACTCCTGCTATTGACACCTCGGTATTTCAACCCTGGTACTCATCATTTCCTGTGATCGAGAACAAGATTCGCTATTCTTTTACCACCTATGTTCGTGTGAAGAATTCCAGAGTAGAAACTGTTAATCAGTCTAATAGTGAAATTCCTGAGAATGGTTCAGATTCTTCTAATATTGAGGTTAAATCGTTTTCCTTCTTGCCTAAAATGGTATTTGAGAAACATGAAGAATTCATGTATCTGAGACTGGTTGAAGAGATCATCTCGAATGGCATGCTAAAGGATGACAGGACAGGCACTGGTACTTTGTCGAAATTTGGTTGCCAGGTAATGAGAAGTATATAAAATTCAGTTGTCGTTCTCAACAAAGATAAAGTTCAGCTCTGTATGTTTTTTTCTCTCTTCCTTTATTTTGGGTGTGTTTGAAGAAGTGAGTACATCAAATATATAATAGGGAGAAGGGAGTACTGCAAGTAAAATATTGTTTGGAGAAGGATTCACATTTGATCATAATGTGAATAAGAAAAAGGGGAAGGACAGGTGAAGCTTTGCATGTAACCTTGTGCGGATGAATATCAAACAAAGTCTTCTCTATTTGCCTTCCCTGTTTATATGTACGGGTAATTTAATGCCTATTTGGTGTATCTGTGATAATGTTGTGATGTTTTACTATTGCTGCAGATGAGATACAATTTACGCAGATCATTTCCCCTTCTTACAACAAAGGTATCGTGTCATATATTTGTTTGTAGTTTAATGTGCTTTTGATATAATCCGTGTCCAATTTTTCCTACCACTACAATGTGAACTGCAATCGCAGATCATTTGACTTATTTTGTTTGTTATTTTGGGTTTCAGAAAGTTTTTTGGAGAGGCGTCATTGAAGAACTCTTGTGGTTCATCAGTGGATCAACAAGTGCTAAGGTTTCTTTCTGTTCCTCACTGATTGTATAATTTGGGTTCTGTTTCCTTGCCAATAATGCTTTGTGCAATTTGTTATGGCACATCTCGGAGATAGTTACCATTTTGTTTTAATGATTTCTGGCCCATTTAGCTTGCATAACTAAGATGTTTTTAGTTCAGGTCCTACAAGAGAAGGGCATTCATATTTGGGATGGCAATGCATCCAGAGATTATCTTGATAGGTAAGATTTTATCTCTTCTTGCTATCAAGTCTATTATAAATGTTGGACCATCTTAAATTTGGCATTCCATTTCAGTATTGGCTTGAAGGATAGGGAAGAGGGTGATTTGGGACCAGTATATGGGTTTCAGTGGAGACATTTTGGTGCCAGGTCAGTCTTTGAAAACTTACTCATCATACAGTTGGTCAAAACTCTAGAGTTATGTGGTAACTTGTTCCATTGAACCTGCTATATACAGGTACATTGACATGCATACTGACTACAGTGGCCAGGGGTTTGACCAATTGGCTGATGTTATCAACAAAGTTAAAAACAATCCAGATGACCGACGCATTATTCTTTCAGCTTGGAATCCTTCTGATCTTAAACTGATGGCGCTTCCACCTTGTCATATGTTTGCTCAAGTTAGTGTTGTCTTGGTTTTGTTTATGGCAGAACTTATTGTTTATGTACTAATCTTCTCTTTCATCTTGTGGTTGTAGTTTTATGTTGCCAATGGGGAGCTATCCTGTCAGATGTATCAGCGATCTGCCGATATGGGTTTGGGAGTGCCATTCAACATTGCATCTTATGCCTTGCTGACATGCATGATAGCTCATGTTGCTGGTATGCTGTCAGGATACCTCTAGCTAATTTCTCATGTGCATCATGTAATAACTAGCAAATTTCCTACCTGCTTAAAGACATGACTAGACAAGAATTCTGACTAAGCAAAACAGATACTGCAAAAACTCATTTACTTGGTGAGGCATTTGAAAATGGAACTTTACCCTTCTCATGAGACTCAATCCTTGTCCTTTATGAGACAATCCTATGCCTTAATACTTCTAGCCAAGTTTCTAAGTAGTACTGCTTGGTGAGATTGCCAATTACTTTGTATGTGTATTGTTAAATACAGATCCAACTTGAAAAAGGATATGGAACTTTTGAACATTTGATTTGTAAATTTTCATGTATATTGATATTGGAGACATATCTTTTGATGGTCATTCACTGGTCATTCTACATCCAGGCTCCAGCCCACTTCAGTTCCTTCTGTTTTACTATTCGCCTCATGATGTTTGCTCTACCTTCTCTTTACAGGTCTAGTTCCTGGTGATTTCATACATGTCGTAGGAGATGCTCATGTTTATCGCAATCATGTCAGACCTCTGCAAGACCAGCTTCAGAAGTTGCCTAGACCTTTCCCAGTAAGTAAAGGAATACTCTTTTTTTTTTCCTGTTATAATCTCTATCTCTCCCTCTCTAACTGCAGTTGGTTCTGAATGGGTGTAGGTGCTGAAGATCAATCCGCAGAAAAAGGACATAGATTCCTTTGTTGCTGCTGACTTTGAGCTTACCGGCTATGATCCTCACCAAAGAATTGAAATGAAAATGGCAATATGAAGTTCCATGCAGTTAGTCCTGGAATTCCTCTGCTCTCAGGATATGTGGCTCATATTTTGAGGCAAGTGAATGGAACTACCTATTTTCTCTTTCCTTCTTCCTTTGGTACTTACATGGCCTAATTTTCACTGTTCAGGGTCTAGATAAAAGAATCTGATTTTGATATTAAGTTTTTCTTTTAAAAAAAATTAAATACGTGATAGATTTCCTTAAGGCATTGTCTGAGATCCATTGCTTGAAGTTCTCAGTGTAAGAGAGCAAGTATGATGCTCAAACTTCCCCATTTTCCTTCATCTGGTAACTGTTGCCTTTAAGAGGGGGGGACCTCTAGTTGATGTTGTGTAAGCTTTTGTCTGTTACTGTTGCAACATTGTCATCATGAAATCGTACATCAGTTGAACCATTTCTGAGGCATTAGGTCTCGCACTTGATTAGGGGGATAGTGTATTGTCAAGGCTTCCTTTTTGTTAGTTGGAAATATGTTTGTCATGTAAGAAATTAATGTCCGGCAAATATAGAGAGCATGTGTACCTTTTTTTTAATTTGTATAATGGTATGTGACAAGCTTAAATGGTGGCTTGTTTGGGATTGAGTAGTAGTAGTAGTTGTTTCTGTATTCTGCAGGCTTAGGATCATGTACTCTTTCACCTTTTAGGGGTTCTGGAATTTGTCCATCTATAACTATACTTTCAATTTTAATTTATATTGTATTTTTTTCTTTTCTTAACGAAGTGGTTGATGCTTACTGTTTTCCTTGCTTAGTGGAGAGCTGATATTAATGTTGTTTGTACAATTTTACAGATTGGAGAACCGAGGATGTCTTGAGGAGTTGTTTTATAATTTGAATCTTCATTAGTAGTATATTTGAGGAAAAAACATCTAAGTATTAGGATCTGCGAATCCTTTAGCTCCAAAACAATGGATGTGTGGTTGCTAAGGTGATTTAGAATGCTAATGGCTTTCCTTTTGTGTTGAGACTTTACCTTTTTGGCTTTCTATGACAATACCCTTTCTCTTATGCGATGTATTATTTATGTTTTCGCTCATTTATTTGCGTATTGTTTCATGGCTTTTGTTCAGCTTCATTTGTGTCTGAGCATATACATAACAGGGTGGGAGATTTGCGTATATTGCTACTAAGATTAGTATATTTGTGAAGGTTGCTATATGAACTATCTATGGAGTCATGGAATGGCAGTGCTTAAAGGTCTTTTTTATAATTTGTGTATTTTAACTGATAGTCCTGGAGGTGTCAAATGGACAAGTTGATCAAAACTTGAGCTTCTCAGAACTTAAAGGTCATCAAAGTTGCTTGTGTCAAAATGACTTGAATCAATGGGGAAATATCATGTCATAATTCAACCCAACCAATGTGACCTAATATCTCTTTTTTCTTTTGTTTTTGTATAGGAGTATTTTTTTTTTTGTGAAGGTTAATGTATTTTTGAAAGTGAAATTAAGTTTTCTTCTCTTTACAGTAAAACCTTACTGAATTATATTCGGTGAATCAATAGTTTCTGGTCCCGACTTGGATCAATGAAAAAAATCATCTATTTCGATAAGATAATATATTTTCAAAATACCCTTATATGAATATATGGTGCCATTGATATTATAAATTAATATTTTTTTTTAAAAGTACAAATATATTTAAGACAATTTAGTGAAATATAATCTTATTATTTTTTGTTAAAATTTAAATATAATTAAAGTTCACCTCATTGCTTCCAGAAGTTCCAGTGTTGTCACTGTATATCTTTTTAAGTACATGTGGAATGATCTCTTTTTGTATTCACATAATGCATTTATGTATTTGATCTGTCATTGTTGATTTTGTGACACCTTTTTAATGAGAAGCCATTATTGGATATGATTTCAAGAAATTTCCTATATTACTTATAATGAATGTTTTTAGTAAAGATACAATGAATAATATTTAATTATGAAACAATGAACATTATGTATATTTGAAGAAAATAAAATTCCTTAAAGTAATAATTTATATACAAATGAAAGACCCAATAATGGAGAAATTTATTAAGTTATAAAGAAGAGGTAGGAGGCTTTATTCAATAACCTTAAAATTCTTGTATCTCTCTCAACATTGAAAATATGTATAAGCCACCCTTATTAACCAAATTAAACTAGGATTAGAAAACCTAATTAACTAACAAATTTTAATTAAACATAATTAAAATAAATATCATAAATAACAAATCCTAAACTTTTAAGGAATCCTATAATTAATCACCATAAATAACAAATCCTAAACTACCCAGGAATCATATTATTAGTTTATTTCCTACAAAAATGAATTTATTTTACCAATAAATCATTAAATTCTTGAATTTATTTTACAATGAATTATTTAACAAAAAAAATATATTACAATAAAATCACACATATACATTGACCATTATGCATAATGATTTTTTTTTAATATGAGTTCAATAAATATAATAATTTTTGGATATTTATTTATTTTTAATGTGAATTCAATAAATACGATACATGAATTAGTAAGATACAATGAACTTTAATTAACCTTCATTAAATCTCAAAACACTAATTTAGTAATTAAATAATTGTTCTACAAAATAATAATAATATGTCATAATCCGACATATATTAATTTAGTCAGGTTTAATTACTGTAACTAAAGCAATAAAAACTTTCACAAATAGACTAAAAAAGGAAAAAAAAAACCCCAATTCTATAAGAATATAGCTTGAGGTAATTCATATTATAAAAGCCAACTTCATTATAACCAATTCAATTACAAAACAATGCCTATATTACCAACTCTACAAAACATTGCTGCAGCTAAAGCATCAGCAACAGCTTCAACTGCTTTGTTCAAAGAAGCTGGTACTGATTTGCTTGTTAGATGTTCACAATCACATGGCGGTGGTATTCGTCTCAGAACAAATTTGTGTAAATTCAATGAAAATCATATCGTAAATAATACTATTGGTTTTCCAATTATGGTTATCGTGTCTATAAAACGACATTCATCACGTTTGTCTTTTAAAGATTATATCTATGATCATAGAGCTATGCAAACCTTTTGGATTCCTTACGATGATATTGTTTCAGATGAGGATGCAACAAATATTATATCAAAACTAATATGTTTGATGAATGTAATTCCCATGTTGGATGAGCAATGTATAAGTTATAGTGATACTAAGACAAGTACTAGCATGATGTTGACAAACAAGGACATTTTGATTTCAAAGATTATGAATTTTGCTAGGGGTATGAAGGAATGTCCATCTAATGAAGATCATTGGTACATGACTTTGGGGATTACAAAGGTTACTTATTTGCCCCATGAGAATTTTATGAATTTGTATAACAAAATGGGACAAGATTATAATTGGAATGCATGGAAAAAGACTCAAGAGGTGTTGGATTCAAGGATTGCGGCGTTTGAATTGTTGAAGAAAATTGGAATCAAGAAGATGAAATTTCGAGCTAGTGAATTTAAGGATTGTAATTTACTAGACACATGTTCGATTTGTCGTGATGGATTCTTAGAAGGTTGTATGGTTTCTTGTATTAATAAGTGTTGTCATGTCTACCATGATACTTGCATTTTGGAATGGCTTTTAAGGAATCGATCTTGTCCTTATTGTCGATCCAAGTTAGCATAAAAATTGTTTAGTCTTAAGTTTATTTCTTGTTATTCGTGTTTTTTTTAATGATATCTACTGTTGTTAGTATAGTGAATGCTGTTGATTTAATACTATCTTGTCGAAATTTATCATCAAAGGATGTGGTACAATGGATGAGACTGTTTCTCTTTTAATAAAAGATTTTAAATATGACAACATCTTTGGTCTATGTGACACCAAATTTGAATTAATTGAATAATAATTATTTGTACAAGACATTCTCCTGTGCTACCAATTAAATTTTGTTCTAGTTTGCTAAATTTTTGGAAATATTACCCTAAAGAACTTATCTTGACAAATAACTGTGCCCTAATGTTTGAATAACTTATAATATTATAGATCATAGTCTAATATTTTCTCATGATTTTTAATTTGTTCGAAATAGATCTTTAGACAGTGATTTAATAGTTTCTAATGTGCCATTACCATTATCAGTCCTTACTCCTTAGTTAATTATGCCGTAACCATTTCTAAGTGCAAGTCTTCTTCAAATATTTCCATTGGTCCAAACAAAGAAATATAATTTTCAATCATAATTTAAACGTTTTCAAAAAGTAATGGTTGATATAACAAGTGTAATTTAACTTCTTTTTTTCCCAGAAATTTATGGCTATTATAACATTTACTTTAATGTCTTTAGACGTATAAAGTATAATTTAGACGTTGATTCTAATTATTGAAACTGATTTAATTAAACAAAATTATATTGTTGTTATTGTTCTCTTCTCCATTGTTTTCAATATAGATCACTAATGTATGTTTTACGTACTTGATATTACTTGAGTTGGTAGTCTATCGAAAACAGTTTCTCTACCTTGTCAAAGTAAGGGTAGGACTGACAATGAGTACACATCGTCCTTCTAGATTCGATTTACGAGATTACAATAAATATGTTATTGTTGATTAATCAAACAAAAATTAACTAAATTGAAACTTTTTTACCAACCAATTAATAATCTTTATATAGACATGACTCTTGGAATCTTGTTTCAACTACAAACATGTTTTTCGCATCCTCCCCATGAGACATTATAAAAAAATCAAAGTGAAAAATAGTGGGTTGGTGTAAAAAGAAAAAAAAGACATAGACCATAGTACTTGTGGAGTTCATTTAAATAATTCAAAAGTTGCAAGATTTTTAGGACGAACACCACCAGAGATAGTGGAATTCTTTTAAAAGGTTAATTTATTTAACACTCAAAAAGATTTGAGAGAGATAGAAGTATAGAACAATAGACAAGTGTAACAAATAAAAAGCTAAAATCTTGCTTTTCAAAAAATAGGAAAATATATTTCTTATTAGAAAACTTAGTAATGAAAGGAAATATATGGTATTAAGTTAGGTGCAGAAGTAAAAATCTTTTTTCTATAAATAATCATGGTGATCAGACCAGCTTGAACGTATGCCAAAATAGATATTAGATAAAATTACTTTCATCAAAAGTCGAATAGATGAAGAAAAAGTTTTGTGATATTTTTTTTCCTTCTCTCTATTAAGATTTAAATTCCTATGATTTTTATCTGCTTCATTGACCGGTAAGCAATTAATGCAGCAAGTAAAGAATAAAATATTAAAAGTTAAAAATTAAAAGAAGTGATATGAAAAGATTGAAGTAATTCTCTGGAAGGATGAGTTCCATACAAGTGTGGTCTCACCAAGTCAATTTTTAAATCTACTTTTGCAATTTTCTTTATGCCTTTTTAAAAATCTAGAATTAGTGAAAATTATCAAAAGCATCTGATTTTTAGAACAGAAAATCTAGAATACTTCCACCACTGTCCACAAAATATTCTTTTTGGTAATTTTTTCCAGAAAAAATAATAGAGTATCAGTGATGGGTATATAAGCATCATGCTTTTTCATGGTTCAAATAGTTTGTATGTTTTTTTTTTTTTTTTTTAATTTTCCACTTAATGTTCGGTAAAAAATATATTCTATATTGAAAATTCAAATTCGTTTTTTTTTTTTTTAAAGAGTGACGGAATTATATTTATCGCATTACAAATTCTTTGGTGGTCCAAATAGATCAAATGTGAATACATGAAAATGACTGAACATTCTCCCTTTGGCATATTTCTACATGTTTATATTTTCAACTATATTCTTGGAATTAATTTAGGAAATCCATATGACACTTTATTAGATTAGATTCTCTTGCCTTAGATCTTTGTTCATATTTCCAAAAAGTGGACAAGGTTAATATTGAAAATAAAAACTCAGTCTTCTAAAACCAAACACAAATAGGGAAATTGATAAGTTATAAATTTATACACCAAAAGTAAGTTTATGATTCAAAATATTAACAAAGATCTAAGGCAAACTTACATTTACAAAAACCTCACAATGGCTTTCATCAAGCTACATGGAGGAGGGCTTAAGAACTAGGAGTACTATACATATATATAAGTATATACTTTTGTCCTTTTTCTTTTATTCTATTTCAACGTAAACATAGCCTTGATGCTTGCATTAAGATAGACTGTCTAGTAGAAGAGTGCAAAGCTATGATTCATAAGAAACAACAGCTGAAAACTCTTGGTCCCTCAAAAATTTTTGTTGTCTTGCAATGAAATTCTCAACAGTTTTCCTGAATTCATCATTGCTCATCTCGTCTTCTGGATACGAGGTTGTTGGTTTTACACTGTCAGTGTTTATAACTTTCCGGGATCTTACTGTAGCTGACCGTGTCAATTTTTTTCTAGGTTTTTTCTCATCATGGGATAAAGGTAGAGAGTTGTCCGAATGGCTACGATGGATTTTCTTTTCTAATCGCCTTTCCAACAGTTTCCTCTGTTTTTTGCTCTGTTCACAACAAGCCTCTTCTAAAGCAATACTCTGTTTTTTGCTCTGTTCACAATAAGTCTCTTTGTTCATCGAACATTTTTGCTTTAACTCATCGTACATATCGATTTTAAAACCATCATCTTTAGTAGAGGACTGTCCTGATATGAAGAAGAGGATGATGACAATTATGTTTCCAAGAACAAAGACGAATCGAGGACTAATGAGGGTGACACCAAGTCCCTTGAAATAATCCGTTGAGAGATTGAAATTGAGTGGCAATTGAGTGGAAAATCTTGAGATTATGGCGAAAAATATGCAGAATTCGATGAAACGGAACAAAGTTGTGACTCTTTGACGCTTCTTGTACCTTAGCATAGCGTTTGCTTTCTCTAATTTGATGTTTAAGGATTCCATGTTTGTTTGTTTGTTTTAACAAGTGAAAGAGTAGTTAGTGGATTTGACACTTGAAATTGGATGAAGAGGAAGTTGATATGGATAGTGAGGAGCAAAGTCCTCCTTTGTTCTTCTTCTTATTTTATGTTTGTTTTGAGATTGTGTGGATTTTAGAGGCAACGTTGGAGTATATATATATAGGCTATACAAGTATATATTCTTTGTTTTTTTTTTCTTTTTATTTTCTCTTCTTTTTTGTTTTACGTCCACAATAACAACATACTCATGTATCCATCAGTAGAGGTTGGGGTGTAAACACATCTTACTCTTTCTAGGCAAATAGTTGTTTATAGAAAGTAATAATTATCAGCAGTACAAATATTAAGAATTATCAAAGTAAAAAAGTTATAGTCATAATAAATTGAAGAATAAAATAATGCTACCATATTGATAATAATATTCATTTAATTTTGTGTTGCAATAGTTGAAATAGATTCTTTCATATTTTCACTTTACTTTTTCTTTTTTTATTCGTTTCACATTTCAGTAAGGAAGTTCCAATTCTGATATTTTTTAGTCCAAACTCCAAAGGGACTGTCACCGTCAACACTCTTACAGGTTGTTTGGTTTAAACTTCGAAGACTTTAGATTAATTATTCTAGTATTATTTTTTATCGATTGTTTAACTCATTATATTAAAAATAACATGCATTGTATAAAGGTTTTCCTAGATTTTTTATTGTTTTATCCCGGAATAGCTAATCTGAATATTTAGTTCACTTTGTAACTTGGATAACTTGTACTAATTACTGATCTCAATATAACTTATCACAAAATTAATAACTAAATAAAAGATAACACAATAATATATTTTTATCACACAATTGTTTATGTTTGTCTAGCATACCAAACAACTGCTTTACTTTATCACTTAGGAAACTTATTCGATGTATGTCTAAGAATAATTATAGTGCTTTTGGTATATAATACATAACAATTCCTTATTCCCATTGCCTCTCTGTTGTTTGGCATAGCAACTCAATTGCTGGTTTTAAGTGATACTATTTGGTGTACAAGTGGATATAATAATTTAGAATATGGTATAAGCATTTTCCAACTCAATTATTTGGATAAGAAGAATTATTCTTTGTTCTAATCAGACACATGAGGGTATTTAATTTATGTGAGAAAGTCCTATTTGGATTATGCTATAATAATGTTTTGCACTAAATGGCTACTTGATATATTAGGCTATGTTTTCGAATTTTGCCAGCATTACATGGGTAGGAACTAGGAATGGTGCATGCTGCATAGATTAAACAAAGAATCTTTTATCTAAACAGAAGAAACTGTAATTCTTTGGAGTCGGAATTTTTATTAAGAGGTCTAAAATATGAAGAAGTAAACATACAAAAAAGTTAAAAAATGAAAGGAATAAATTATTTGGCAATTGTTTGGTTTACATACTAATTATACAGAATTTATAATGTATGAGTTATTTATGCGGTGAATAATATTAATAATGTAAAGATCATTAAAAGCCCAAATATTAACAGAGAGGGTTAGTTATGAACAGATTAATTACTTTTAGAAACCCTTTATGACTTTAGTTACTCTTAGCTTTTATAGCCAACCAAGCATTAGAGTATGACTTGAGGCTGTAAAAAAGAGAGAAAGGGATTTAGCGGGAGTTGCTTCAGTTGTATGCCACTAGGTCCTTATGGATAAGGGGATAAATTCACGATTGTATGTCACGAGGTCCCTATGGACGAGGGACAAGTTCACTATTTTATGTTTAATATCATAATATTCTAAATTTTTTAATTTATTTTTTAAACTTCGTGTTAAATCAAAACTAGATAAATATTCATACTAAAAATGCATATCATTATAACATTTACAAAATTAAAACAAATTAAGAAAGTAGAGAGAGCGCCTCACATGCGGCCCTAATTTTTTCATAGCATAATGAGATTCTATTTTAAAATTTATGCCTGTTCTTTAAAAAAAATAATCATTTTTACTATTTAATTGTAGTCTCAACGGAAAGTAAAACTTATCCATTAGTTGGGGAACTGAATTTAAACACTATAGTACTAGATTTTCGTTACATTATTTGGCTACTTTGCTAGATTAACCTTTTTTCAAAAAAGAAAATGAACTGACATGACACTTTTGATACTTTCATCAATAATAATATATGCTAATGTTAATGTATTTCCAGGTGGCAAACTTGTATCCAAGTGTACATATATTATTGGAAGTCCTACCTCCTTCCTTACAAACTAAGAAATTAATCATTTGCCATCCACATAACGGTTTTCCAACTTTTTTTTTTTTATAAAAATATCACAAGAAAAATATTTTTCTTTTAACTATGGTGGGCTCTTAATTGTTGAATTGATTTTACGTGGCAATTTAATAATAAAAGATCGGTTTGTACTTTGGTCAAGAAAAGACCTTCCAAAGAATGTTAGCCATTTCTTAATTTGTATCACTCAAAAATATTATCTTGCACGTCAAATCTAATAATTTAACTTTATATATTATAACTTAAAGAAAAAATATATAATATTTTATTATGATTAAGTGTTAAAAATCAATAATTGTATAATTATTGATGCAAGGTAAAAAAAATTATTGATCTTAGACCCCACATCTTCACATTTTTTTGATTTGTTGAGTTACTTCCTTTGCTTTAGTAATTGTTTTCTTAATATCAAAAGAAATTAAAGCTTGAACCCTACAACATTTAGTTAATTTGTACAAGTTGTTTAAAAGAGAAAAAATATTTAAAAATATTAAATAGTGCTAATAGCAGTGGAATTCTCGCGGATCATAAGAAGCTTAAAAAATTGAAGAAGCAGACCATGGGGTTCATTGAGTGGGCCAATTCAATGAATGATTGGCCAATTAAAAAAATACTTTTAAAATTATATTGTATTTTCTTTTTTTAATTATTTGTTTTTCTCTAAAGGACTAAATTTGCTTAATTATTTAAATTATCAACCGATTTGATGGATTACCGGGAAACATCTCCTCTTTAGCAGCCACATCAATAAATCCTAATATTTGCACTTTGCACCTTTGAAAAATCATAATATGAAAAATCTTACATACGCTAAGTTTTAGTGCTTATGTTATGCACGATAAATACTTTTCAAGAACTGCTAATAAAATAAACGATATTTTTTTCTTTCACTATGGTTTATAAAACAAAAAATATCTAATTTATTTTAATGAATTATAAGGCAATATCTTAATTTTCATTTTTTAAAAAAAAATGGAAGAGAAAGGATATTTCTCTTATTACACTTGCGTGTAAATGAAATTCATTTTTCGTTTGGGATAAATAAGTACTATACAAAGCATAAATAAAGTGCAGCTCATGAATTAAAGTCTTTTTTTTTTCCTTTTGAAAACTGAGTAGACTCCAAATCAGATCAAACTTTATATGAATAAACAATATACAAGACAAAAGGCAAGATTATTCTCTTATTCTATCCTAATAATATTTTAATTACAAAATCATGTGTAAGTGCAACTTAGTGCAGGGGGATCTAGTGGGTGAATCTTCTCGTTTTTTTAATTTTTTTTTATATAAATAGATATATTTTGAAATTTCTGAACATAAAATTAGAGGTTGGCTAAATTAGTGATTGAGGGAGTTCAAAATCTACCTTGAAATTCAAATTTTAAACACTACATCTTTATTTTTCAAATTTTTTTATTCAATTATAAAAAATCTTGAATCCACTATATGTGCAAGTATATTATTCTTTCTATATCTTAGTACAAACTTTTTGTGCTTCTAAAAGACCTTTTTACGAAGAGATAATAATACAATCAATTAAATATGACCTAGTTATTAGTTTGATAAATCAACCTCATAGGCTTTAACTAATTTCTTAGTATTAATTATTTCCAACTTAACAAGAAAAAAGACGCTTTGTTTATTTTAATCTTACTTTCTTATAACTTTTGGACAGTCGTGGTCTCGTGATGATTTGTCGATAGGAGGATAATGCCTTAATTTTGTTTCTTCTAGAAAATAAAATATATATATTTTAAGAAAATCAGAAATTAATTGCATTATAATAGATTTACTATTGTGTATGACATAATTAAATATTAAGGCTGCTTTCCTAAGTTTCTTCCAGAATAATTATTTTAAAAAAATAATTAACCAGAAATCAATTGCATTAAGGGTCTGGGGTAATAGGTCCACATTAAAGTTTGATATCGTAACAGCAATTTCGGTCAAAGTTGGGATATTTTTCAGACCCTTATCCCTATTGTGTATGAGTAACTTAATATTCTGTCTGTTTTCCTGTGTTTTTTCTATAATGTTTTTTTTTTTTTGAAAAAATAGAAATTAATTGCATTAAAATGGATTTACTATTGTGTATGACATAATTAAAAATTCTGTTGATTCTGGCTAGTGGATAATATGCACACTTTGGATTTAGAGTATTTCGAGTTGGACACCACTTTCCTTTTGATGTATTCCTTCCTCTTTTTTTCTTCTCTATTTTGCTTTTTTGAAAGGAATTTGTTTTTTATGGTGAAGAAATCCTTTTGGTTTGAAAATTTTATGAGAAATACTTGATGATAAACATATTAGGAAATTTTTCAGAGCTTGAGGCATGTCAATAACACTATCCTTAAGAATGTTTCGTTCGTATACTAATGTTCATTTAAACATTAGATATCATATTATAGGTGGAGGAACAAAACTATTCCCATTTACAAGTAGAAATGTTACTCCTGCTATTAGAGATTTATCTTTGTTCTTGAATTTACATATGTTGTCTCTAACTTCTTATTTCTTTTTTAATGACCTAATAATGTACTAATAAAAACTCTTGATGTTTTCTCAAGATGTCTTAATTTATGTTGATACAACATCTGAAAATAACTCTTCTTCCCTTAAAAATCTTTGTTGTCTTGCAATGAATGCTTCAACAGTGTTCCTGAATTCTTCGCTGCTCATTCCATCATCCACCGATTTTACACTGTTAGTGCGTATAACTTTCAAACATCCTACTGTA